GTTTAATTTCCAATTAGCATTAAATTATAAAATAATCTAATTGCTTATCTTGCTCAGCATTCTCTGTTCCCTCTGCTTCCCCCCCACCCCCCTCCATCAAAGCTTTTCTGTGTAGGTTGACAGAAAGACACGTGTTCTGGCTTCTACTCATCCCCTGCCTCCTTGTGAACATAATTTACTCTGCCATTTGAACTGAGCTGAGGGCCGGAGCTGCTGGAGGGGATAATTCACAAGCCAGAATTGCTCCTTCTGCAGGTTTCTCAAGGACTTGGTCTGGTCTAATAGATTTGCTGCATAAACCATGTTTCAGTGTCTGTCATGCCCCATGTAAACTTATATTTACAAGCCTGTAGTGTGGCTTTAAGACTGAGGTTGTCAAAGGAATGCAGTAAAAACTTGACACCCAAGACCCAAGGAAATGCCTTCTGAGAATCTGAATCCTTCAGGAAATCCCAGCTGAAATTTATATCCAAACGGTGCTGTGACCCATGTTTGCAGCTCCCTTGGAATATATTTAAATGAGACCAGCAAGGGCTGATTTTAAATCAGAATGATTTAAGTTGCTGACTTGATCATAATTTGTCAGCAAGCAGAATACCTTGATTTTGAATGGTCAGCTTAGTATTGCTTTACACTTCTATTCCTTTTTCCAAAATAAATTATGTTTGATTGGTAAACATTAAACAGGTTAAATTCTTAACCTAAGAAATACCCTTTAAATGTAGTATTTTTTTGCTGTCTAAGATGCAGTTTACTTAAGTAATTATATTGTATATTATGCATTTATGTGGGACCTTTTTTCAGGTTTTATGGCAGAAAAATGTGAATTATAAGTTTGTTTTTTTTATATACTGGATGCTTAATATTTTTTTATCAGATCTGTGGTGTACTTGGATGGAAATTTGGGATAGAATTCAAAATGCAAAAACAACATTTTAAAACTTTATATTTTAAAAAACTTTCAGTACCTGTGCCAGATACTTTTTCTGTAAGTTAGTTTATCCAAACATATCGTGCATTTCAAACTAATTTACACTCAGGTCTCTCTCTATGCGAAGGTTGCGTTCCAAAAAACCGTGGCTGGGAACAGCGGGGTTGCGCGGAGAGGGCACGAGCTCCCTGCTGCACTGGGTCATTGGTGCTGGGCTTTGCAGCACGAGCTCCTTGCTTGC